GCACTGTGGTATTTGACATGAGGGACCCGTTAACTCATGCATGAGCACCCCAGTCATTTCCTCGTCAGAACCCAATGAGGTCACGCATGAGCAGCCAATTAATACACACACAAGCGCATGATTAATTTACATATGAGCATCCACTTGATTTCTGCATGGGTGCCCAGCTGATTTGCACTGGATCACACACTGGTCGGTGGATGAGCACCCTGTTAGCTGGTGCATGGGTGCCCAATTAATTGGTGCAAGTGCGCCCAGTCAGTTCATGCCCGAGTGTCCAATTAATTTATGCATGAGCACCTGCTCCGTTCACACCTGAGTGCCCAATTAGTACATGCACAAGTGTGTTATCTTCTAATTACACTAATTTACACATGAGTGCCCAATTAGTTCACGCAGGAGTGCTCAGTGAATTTACGCATGCGTGCTCAATTAGTCCATGCATGAGCGCCCGATAAATTCATGAGTGCTCGAAAAATTTATGCATGAGCACCCAGCTCGTTCATGCGTGAGCATCCCTTTCATTCACACCTGAGCACCAGGCGGTTCGTGCATGAGCACCCAATGAAATCATGCATGAGCACCCAATTAGTTCACCTAGAAGCACCCAAATAATTTATGCACTAGTGCCCAATTACTCCATGCATGATCCCCCGACTTATTTTTGCAGGAGTGCCCGCCTAGCTCAGGCACGCCTCCCCAGTCAGTGCATGCAGGAGTGCCCCATCAATTCATGCCTGAGCACCCACTTTGCTCACGCATGGGTGCCCAGCTTGCCATCGTCTGGGCGCTGCGCTGAGCATCTGCAGCAGGTTTAGGCAGCCCCAAACCCGGGTGGGAGCCCCAGCGCAGGGTGATGTGCCAGCTCCCCTGGACTGGGATGCACAGGGACCTGCGGGAACCTGGGGAAGGAGCCGCAGCGAATCCCTGGGTAAATAAATGCCACCATGCCTCGGCGGGTGATGCCGGACCAGTCGCCCGTGGGTTGGGTGACCTGGCAGAGCTGGAGTGCCCTGCAGCGGCAGTGCCTGGAAATAATTAACCCTGTTTCCCTGATAAGGCAGCGATGCCTGTGGCCCTGTGGGGTCGAGATGCTGTTGAGGGCTGAGGGGGGACGTGCAGGGGCTCGGTGAGACTCCCCAGGGATGGTGCTTCCTGAGCCTTTGGGAGCCCAAGCCTGTGCCTGTGCCGTGGCGGTAGCACCCATGGGCCAGGCTACGTGTGCACGATCTGGGTCCGGGTCGGACCCCCCTGGTGTGGCTAAACCCCTGCCCTTGGGCAGACAGGGGAGGGGACGGCTGCGGGATGGGATGGCTGCACCAAAAAAGCCCTGTGGGGCTGGAGCATCACGTCACCGCACGCATCCCGCCGTGGCCAGGGGTCTCCGGGCAGTTCCAGATCCACGGTCCGGCGAGCAGCGAGCTCGCCAGGAATTCGCAGTCCTGGGTCCCTCCTCTCCTCGCTGCCTGGCAAACACAAGTTAACGGGCTTGAGCACTGATTAACCAGGGCTGTTTTGTGCTGCAGTGGCAGCTGGGTGGTGGGAAGAGAGGGGGCACGCGAAGGGCGGGTGGTGACGGAGCTGTCAGTCCTCGCCTGTGCCGTGGGGATTGATGGAAGGGTGGGGGGCAGAGAGCTGGGGGCTTTTTGGTTGCCGTAGCTGGGAGGAGGGGGGTGTGGGAGGAGGGGGTTGGGGGCTGCTTAGGTGCAGCTCCATTGGGCAGTCTCTGCCCTGCTGTGCGGCGTGGGATGTGTGGTCAAAACCCTTCTCCCAGCTGGGAGGGGAGCGGGGACGGACCGACCACGCTGCGAGGGCTCCTGGGCTGCCCTGGGGTGCTGGGCCCTGCTGCCTGCCCCTGCTGCCCACTCCTGCCCGCGGTGTGAGCCCCACGCTCAGCATTTCCCCGCTAAGAGCGGTGGAAACAAAGATGCTGCCGGCAGGAGCTGCGGCGTTGTGCGTACGGGAGGGTGTCCGCGGCGCGTAGCCGGGGCTCCCGGCTCGGCGATGCCTCTCCCAGCGTTACGGTTTGTAACGAATGCTAATACCCTGCCTTTATTTAGCGCTTTTCGTCCCCAAGGATCCCGGGGCACGCCGCATCCGCTAACAAATGCTAC